AGGGCTTCATCCCATTGTTCGCCCGAAAAACACCAGCGAACAAAGTGAGACAACACAACACCCACCCAGATCAGCAACAGCCGTGAAAAACCCAAAAACGCCAAAGCACTTCGACGTCAAAGCGAGAAAGACATAAAAATTTTAGGGCGGAATCCTCACGTGGGTTCGTCGTGCATCTTTTCCGCTACGTCCGCTCTGCATCATCGCAATTTACTTACTCGGCGCCCAACCCAACCCGATTGCCCCTCTCCATCTTCCTCCCTCGTGGCGCCGCCTCGACGCAACTGAACCCTCCAAAAACATCACTTTCGCTGGAGAGTGATCAGAAATCGAGAGCAGCGGCCAAGTTGGCGGTGACGGCGAAGGCGACGGCGACGACAAACACATCACAGGACGACTCGTAGCGTGCTGACAACTCAGCAAAACCGTCGCTATGGATCCCCGCTACTCTTCTTCGCGCTACACCGGCACTCGCCCGCGATCGCCTACCTACAATCCGGCGAGAGCGTCGATGCCCACCAGCATCGGCTACAGCTCCATGTACGGTGGCGACATTCACGTCATGCCTACCTCTACGAGATACACCCCGACGACCTCTTCTTCCTCAAGAGGCCATCACCATTCTCACTCCACCACTACTCCAACAACCACCACCACGTACGCTGTCACCAAGGATCCTCTGGCCCGCGGTCCCAGCCTGAGAGATGTGAGCCGCAACCGGGCAGGCCGTTCTACAACTCTTGACTCCAGCGCTCCCCGCCCTGTCATCGTCACTACTACGACAAGGACACCTCAGCAGGCAAGCTCTTCCTCGCATCACTCTTCGAGCAACAGACACTCTAGCCCGACCCGCGACGATTACCGCTCCAGCGACAGCACCTTTTACACCCAGCCGGCGTCTTCTATACGTTCCCGAAGCCACCATCGGGGTGGCTCTTACAGCGCAACAATGGACAACGAAGAGTTCACTCGCCTTCGCGAACGAACTGTCGACGGTCGGCTGGATGCATACCGCCCAACAAGGTCTTCCACCCTATATGCGAACAGCTCTCGTCACGGCAACGCCCCCATTGATTACGGAGCCACTGATGGCTACGAATACACCGCCCCTGGCGACCTTGCTCGCTATGACTTGGATCACTCTCGTCCCCCCTCCAGATCTCGCAGACGAGAGAGCATTGACCGTGGTTACTACCGCCCCAGTGTCAACGTGACCACTACAGATCCTGTCAGTCGTCCGTACAATGACACTGGCCGTCGCGGCGGCCCTCCGCCCACGACTTGGGGCCTCGACAAGATCAACAAATCAACCACCAACGTGTATGACTCAGGGCAAGGCTCGATCCCGCCCATTGTTCCAGCCGCTCCTGTTCACATGCAGGTTCCTCCAAGCCCTAGGGATCGACGTTCCGCCGGTGTCCCTTCGTCTTTGGATGTGGCCGCACCGTCCGTCGCTGCCGCAACAGTAGCCGGTCCCACTTCATCTCGCCGCCCTGTGTCTGTGTATAATGAGGGAACAGCTCCGCGCTCCACTCACCACGAGGATTATTACCGCAGCCGTGAGGATGATCGTGTGCAGCGACAAGCAAGAGAGGACCGCCCTTATGACGCTACTTACGGTAGTGGCGACTACTTCCATGATGATGCCGTGTCTACGCGCGGCTTTGGCATTCGCACGGATTCGGCTCCACTTGGAGGCGATTTTGATGACCCACGGAATCCACGTAGAGAGGTCCGTCCCGAGTCTCGAAATGGGTACCGTCCCGAATCCCGCACCGGGTACCGCCCGGAGTCTAGGACCGGTCACCGGACTTCACCCCCGGACACAAAGCGAGGCTCTGATGATGAATCCAAGAAGAAGCGTGACTCCGCACGACTCGAGCCCGAAAGAGAAAGACACAGCCGACGGATCAGCACTGCCAATGATGATGAATCCGAGCGAACCAGGTTTCGGGACAAAGTAAGCGCTGGTCTCGGACTGGCTGCTACAGCAATCGGTCTTGGGCAGGCTGTCAAGGAGAAAGAAGAGAGGCCCGAAAGATCCGATAAGCCTGAAAAGGATTCTCGAGAGTCACGGCGTCGCAGCGATGAAGACGAGTCAGGAACCCGCACCGCCGATCGGTACAAGCCTAGAGATGAGTCTCGCGACCCAAGGGACCGCGCACCTGTGATCGTTGAGACCCGCAGGGCACCCGCTGACTCTGAGGCGGATACTCGTGAGCGTGACCGCGGCGAGCGGGAAAGGGAAAGGGAACGGGATCGGGAGCGGGATCGCCGGGATGCCGAGGCTCGACTTACTGGCGACAGCCTTCCATCTTCACAGCGTGACGGTTCCCCTGACGACGACAATAAAAAGTCGAAGCGGCCTGCTCAAAAGGCCATTGGATTCAACCCCACAAACACTAACGACATCCGGGAGTTGAAGGAGCAACTGGCAGCAATGAGGGACGAGAAGCCTAGGGAGAGAGAGAAGGTACCCATCGCTGCTGAAAGGTCTGACCGCTCGGAACGTCCAGAGCGCTCTGAGAGATACGATGAGCGATACGACAGATCGGAGCGGTCAGAGAGGTCTGATAGATTGCCGCGAGATGACCGATCGGATCAACAAACTTACGCTGATCTTCCCCTGAGAGACGCGAAAGAGCGTACGCCGTCGCCCAAGAAAGAGTCGCCGCCCAAGAGGGAATCACCTGTAACGGTGCCGTCAACTGAGTCGACGAGAGATGATTCTCGGGGCCGTGAGGCCACACCGCCTCAAGGAGACGAGAAGCAGGTTCGTGTAGTTTCTCCGCCTCGCGATAAATCGGACTCGAAGCCACTCAAGGGTATCCTCAAGGCACCTAGCAAGTTCCCGGAGGAAGACAATCCGATTCGTGAGGGTGTCGCCCCTCACAAGGATGACAAGAAACTGAAGGAAGTCCCTCCGGGTGCCCGTTGGACCAAGATCAGCCGGAAGATTGTCAACCCGGAGGCTTTGACCGTCGGAAAGGAACGGTTTGAAGTTCGCGACGACTTCGTCATCGTCCTTAGAGTCCTCAGCAAGGAGGAAATTCAGGCATACGCCGCTGCTACTCAAGTCCTGAGAGGTATGTCAAAAACTCAAGTCGTTCTTGCACAATTGAGTCTAACCAGTAGCACAGAGAGGAGGCGTGAGGAGGCAGGCAAAGACCGCGACCGCGACCACGACCGTGAGCGAGACCGTGAGCGCGATCGGGACCATGACCGGGGACGCGACAGAGATGAGGATGATGACAGGCGAAGACACTACCGCCACCACAGGAGAGACGACGGGGATGACGATCGATATGACGAGGAGCGCGACCGCGAACGCCACCGCAGACATCGTCGAGACGACGACGACGACGACTATCACCACCGCCGTCACCACAGGGATCGCGACCGCGACCAGGCGGCTATCGAGGGATAAGGGTCACGGAACGCATGTACTGATGAATGAGCTATACGGTCGCAGAGATTTGAATTTTCCAGCGAGAAGCAGCATTGGATGAGGAGCCCCACAAGCGAGAAAGCGTTTCTTTCATATTTTACACTTTCAGGCGGAAAAGATTCAATATTTATAAGGGCATGGCAAAGGAAAAATCTAGCGGCTATCGAGGCCATAAATCTACAAAAAACTTCTTCCGACATATGAAAGGACCCTCGTCGACAGCTATCGCAGTGAACCCCACATAAATTGGTCCCGTGGACCTTTTGGAGCGAACTGGTCTCACCTTCGGGCGAACGCCACGACGTATTAGCTCGCTCTAGATGCTTGGGCAACAGATGTCATTCGTCGTTGGCTTTCGTGCTTTTCGCACCCTCCGCCGAGGCAGCATTTCGTGAGTCTCTTCTGCGACCCTGCCTCGGCTCTCACTTGTCAATGTAACACCCTCGTTCAGAATCCCCTTCCCGATATCCACAGAACTGTTAAGGTGATGATGCATGGTGCCTCATTGGTGCATCGTTGACTTTGAGTAATATTTGCTATTAGCAAAACTCTTTTCCTTGACAGAAACTTTGTCTCCACCCACCCGGAGCAATGTTGCCTTTGTATCGGAAAAGTCTGTGATTGGTAGGCGGGATGGGATATAAGGTTTTTGAAGCTATCCATCCTCAACGCCGTACGCATCTAAATGAACGCCAGGTGAGTGACCAGAGAGCTTCCTTCATATACAGGTTTCATCACTCTCTCAAGCACATACGACCATACCCATTGGAAAACTCGGGATCCCGTCCGCTCTCCCATAGATAAGCCAATGAGGGCTGGAGTAGTAGTCGGGTCGGTGACGACCGGCGAATGCCCGGTGTTGTATGTTTTGTTTTGTCTTTTTACACCTTCTCAGGTCGAGCGAAGGCTGTTCATTTTGTTCAAACAGCTGCACCTGGGACATATTTGTGATACATTATGTATGAGGCGTTTTTCATTTCGCACATTGGCACTGATCAGCCATACATATGTCGCCGCAAACTTTGAACGCACAGCTAGAAAGTTGCTGTGTGGTTATTGTTACTAGCAATACATTAGCAATATGCTGATCAGTCTGAGTTTGCTGTGCAGAGCCCAATATGAGAAGCCTCGAAGCCACTCCGAGAATCAACCTGTTCTCGAAGGGCCGGTTTTTCAGGTCTAGCTACTCACATCGACCGTTGAACGACCTTTCTACCTCTTTAGCCCAGCCACATCCATTTGTGCGGGTGCCTCATGAAGGCTGTTGAAAAAGTCTATTGCCAATACTGATGAAGACGCCTACATCGAACGTTGGACGATTGTCAGCGCCAGGCAGTGGCTGCTCATCGTCGCCATCAGGGTCTATCATGATCTGTTGAGGCCTTCTCAACGCGCTATGAGTGTTGAAAGCCTCCTCGACTGTATCAGCGTAAGCGGTTTTATATCTGAACACGACGTGACGCCTGATGTTTCCCCTTTTTCTTTGTCCTAATCTCTCATCATCGTGCCCTCCTTTCCCGTCTTGTTTGCGGAACTTCACCGATCCCACACCATGAAGTGCTTCATCATCACAGGCGCCATATTGTTGGCGCCCTTGGCGATGGCCAAGCCGGTCAACTATCAATTAGCCCCGCCCAGTCTCATCGAGCTTTCGGCGGCGGCCGCCGGCAAGAACATCACGTCGGATGGGCTGAACTTCGAAAAACACGTTCAAGGACCTCAGCAGGACATGCACCAGTGCGTCATAGACTGCTGGGTCAACAAGATGGGGGATGCGAACAAGATAGGGGATGCCGACACAATGAAATGCACCTGGGATTGCATGCACCGCCCCAAGGTTACCGTCAATGTTGTCTGCGCAAGCGGTGCTCTGGCTGAGAAGCACGAGGATGGCAAGTGCTACTGCCGGTTTGGCAGGACAAGGTACCGTGTTCCCTGCCAGAGCCGTCCGGTCTCCACGAACACATCGCCGTCCGCGAGCACTTCGCCGTCCACGAGCACTTCGCCGTCCACGAGCACTTCGCCGTCCACGAGCACTTCGCCGTCCACGAGCACTTCGCCGTCCACGAGCACTCCGCCTTCCAAGAGTCCTCTTGTTCCCACCGGGTCGAGGAGGTGCTCGAGCACTATCAGCTCGACTGCTGCTCCCACTCCGGCTACTACTAGTACTCCTGACGAGGCTACCACGGCCATGATCACGGTCACCAATACCGCAACGGTCACAGAAACAATCTATATGCCAGACGACGCTACTATCACTGGAACTTCTGACTTAACTCCCGCTCCCACTGATACACCTGAAGAGACGACTACCACTGGAACCTCTGAGCCAACTTTGGCTCCCACTGGTACGCCTGACGCGACGACTACTACTGCGACTTCCGATTCAACAGCTCCTACTCCTATTGATACACCTGGGGAGACAGCTACTACCGCTGTAACTACCAGCGCTCCTGATAGCACTGCTACTGGAACTTCCTGTGCTTCGATGAGCTGTGATCCTACGACCACCGTCACCGTCGCCACGACGATCACAGCCTCACCCTCGCCTTTGGCTTCGGCTTCGACTTCAACTTCGATCGATGGCCCCGTCTCTACCCCGGAAGCGTCGTCAACGTCGACCGTAACATCGACATCAACCGACGCTTCTATCTCTATTCCGGAAGCATCGTCAACGTCGACCTCAACATCTACTTCTTCTGTCTCTACCCCAGGATCGCCATCATCCAGCACTTATTCGTCCGCTTTCACCACTACGACCGCCGCCCCCGAAGAAGTCACGGTCACAGCAACCAACACTGCCACCGTTGCCCCGGCAGAAGTCACAGTCACCGCGACCAACACTGTCACACAATCACAGCCGCACTATCTCCTCAACCCTTTCCGCCCGTTCGACCCAAACCCTACCATGTCATTAGTATGATCAAGAGCATCAAATGGTGCGCGGAGGCTAAAGTCGGTACATACATGGTAACATGTTTGGTGGAGTGAAGAGTCGTGGCGTGTTTTTGTTCAGTCCCAAAACCTAAAGCTCACTGATAAAGGGGCAAATTTTGTAGTCTGAGGAAATTACGTAGATCCAGGTCCTTTGTTTGTGCGAATCGAAAGACATTGTTTGAATACAGGAAGCAGTCCGGTGACATGAAGACAAGACGATTACTGGCCGAATAACATGTTCTGTCTTTGTCACGACTGTCGATAGCATCTATAGCCTTCGACAGTCTATAATATTGCACATCAAGTCCAAGCAAGACTGATTGTTCAGCTAGCTTTCAGCGCTACAACCTTCCGTGCATTGCATTTGAATTGCCTTTACAAGCTTCGTTGCAGTAACGCTAGGAAGTACCTTCAAGCAGTCTCCTAGCAACTCTCGTCTCGGCTCATGGTTTCCTTTATGAGATGTTTAGCATCTTCATTCTTGTCATGGCATCATATCGGTGTTCCATTTACCAGAAAGTGAAGCTAGAGGGCTCTAGGAGTAAGCATACATCTGGAAATTAGACACAGGAATTTTCGAGGTTTCTCGACAAGTTTTGTGTCAATTTACAGCGGTGTAAAGAGTTCACTCACTTATTGACATGCTCAATGATAACGGTCGAGCTCCATTGTGACAGTCGTCAACAGCACACATCATCACAGCTCGCCTCTCTATCAATGAATGTCGGATGGACAGAAGCAGCCCGGCATCTTCATTTCGTTCCTTATGATTGCAATCAGTATAGCCTCGTCGTATATTGGACCACCGAGACGCATCATCTTGACAGCTACGTTGTACATGGCTCCCGTTGATGGCACAGGAGTCGAGGCTTTTGAATATCGCGTTGAGCCTGGCAACCGTTTCCCCTGAACTTGTCTTGGGACCCGACAACACCGGGCGAACACAACACTAATATCTGAAATGGTGTCGCCATGAGACATGACAACGCCTGCAGTATTCTGCTCTTTAGTATCTTCCAACATAAGACCGTCTCTTGCAGGTCATTGGTAGTTGTAGCTGGTCTATGTACAAAACGACGTACTCGTAACAGCCCCGGTCAGGGCAGCACTCATGTACTTCACATAAACCACGGCGAAGAAGAGGGACTTCACAAACTGAGCGACCCCCTTTCCGCATACTTCAGAATTCCTCCAAAGTTGGAATCTCACAAGTGTGCTCTTGTGACTCTTCTTGCAACGCTCATAGTTAAACTGTCCATCTTATGAGTTGACGGCACGGCACCAGATTCGACAGCTCAACTTCACTGGCAGCTAGTCAACCTCAACCCGGGCAACTTGTAGTTGACTAGCAATGTCACCAAGTTGACCTGCAACCGACATCCGTCATTCGTGAGCCTCCCGGATTCAATGAACCAAGGCCAACTTGCTCCTACCTCTGCGTGGGCATCCCAGATACCCGGTCACAACGCTCGACGCGTCCGCCGTCCCCCAGACGCGTCGCTCCACAGCCGCGCTCCCATGTCGTCGAAACCCGGCGGCCCCAGGACCCCTTTTTTCTGCCCACTTTCTCCCTCGCAACTCACTGACTCTGTTCGACTCTCTCGTCGACAAGGTTTCTCCCCGTCATTTCGAGGTCACATCGATATCAGAAATGCGAACCCGCTCGACGTCTCATTGTTCCACGCAAAGGGTATTCTGCCCACCGGCTGCCTGGGGGGTTTCAATATCGTCGCTCTGGTATACCGCGGCAAGGCATACCCACTCCTGATGAACCCGTCACCCAGAGTTGGGGTCGGCGTCTCCAAAAAAGCAGCAACCTTGGCACCACGAACCCAGCAGCAAGTTGATGAAAAAGGAACCCTCCCTCAGCAGCGGCCAGGAATGCGGTCTATCAAAACGCAACCCCCACGTGGAGAAGCACAAGGCCAGGTTCGCACGCCAAAGAAAAAAGAGGGCAAGACAGAGAACAAGAAGATACAACGATGCTGTCCTCAATCCCAGGCCTGATCCGGCATGGATATCCATGCCAAGGCCCCCTCGCACCTCATCCCCGGTGCCCGCATGCCTAAATATAGTGGAATGATGCTTGTCACCAATACCACTGCATCATGCAGGGGAAGCTCGGTGGTGTTTTCAGGACTCTCACCTCATTTCTTCATCCTCTAAACCTTTTTGGGCAACAGCGCTCGTCGGACGCGTCGAGGGCCCCCCCCCGACGGCGGAGTACGACGAGCTTGAGCGGACAATTGCCCTGGGAATTCCCATCGACCCGGAATTGCCAGGGCCCTTGACCAGCAGAGACGCGCGAAGATATCGCGGCGCGTCTCTTTGCCAGGCTTGGGCAAGCTGCAGCTCGCAGAGACTTTGAGATGCCTTCATCACAGCCATATCGAGGTACTTGAATCAACGGATTGTTGAGAGCAGCGCAAAAGAGTTGGCCAAACATGTTGGGGTCCTTCCAATTCCTCAGAACCAGGGCCAGGCTCTCACAGTCTTTGAAGTTGGACTGCGATCTGGGAAGATTGGGGGAAATACCAAATCCATTCCTACCAAACCAGTCGGGCACTGTCAAAGGATACCGTTTAGAACCCCAGGAGAGTTACTTTGTAACCAACCGCGTTCATGTTATCAGCCGATATTTGCATGAGTGCTTCAGAGCTCGTCGTGACATCCCCACCAAGAGGTCCATTCATCTCCATCGGGACTGAGGATCGAGTACCTGCTCCGAGAGATTGCCTTGGCGATGACTATGTGCTCTTCTAATCTGCGCTCGCGAAGCCCAGGCGCTATATGCGTCGAACTGCGCCTCCGGCCAGCGTCCAAATAGACTGCCGGACCGTCACCGAAACTTGATTTTGGCCGCGAAGAGGAAGTTGAGCCGGAACCAAGCTCCGTGACAGACCTGCCCTCAAACGCCTTCTGTCATGACTGCCTGGCCGATGGTCAATTACTGCTTGTTTGTGTACCTTTCTCCCGATATTGGCAATATCCAGACTGAGGTGGCATTGAATGACCGACGATTGGGGGCAATATACGGACAACCAGCAAGTGACCTGTCCGCTCACGTCTTGACAGTGTCCCCGGATGGCGATCACTTGGGAGTTCCGCAATCTGGGCTGGCTAGATTGAAGGCAGCCTCTGTCATTTCGCCATCAATAGTGCCAGTTCATTTAGTATAGTAACACGTCGCCTTGCAGCACCAACACTGATTACTATGCATTTCGGTGCTGTTGTTCACAACGTGACTGACAACGCCAATTCGTCCAGAGTGGGCTTCATTTGCCCCATAACATAAAGTGACGGGGGAATGCCACTTGGTGTCGTCCCTTTCCAGCACCGCTCACGTATGTATACATCACCCGAGAATGTCAAAACAGACCGCCGATCATAGAGCCTAGAACACGGCGGCACGGCCTCGTTCGCAGCGTTTGCGAACATGAGCGATGTCTCGGTCAATATGTTTAACTAGACAAAGAACACCGAGACCCTATCAACCCTCCCTGACCGCCCCGGTGTTGCGGCGGTGAGCTGTCGCCGGCTGGGCGGTGAGAGTGCATACACCCAACGGCAGCTGCAAACGTGATGAGTGAACGTGTCAGTTTACCAAAGACATCAACCGCATGCTTGCCATGCGGACAGTAACAGGCTGTCTTGCTCCCCGTCAAGAATTTATGCGCATGGCGTGGCGGCGAGACCATATCCCGTGACGGACGGTTCTTCCCCACTTGTTGGAATCCAGCTCATCGTCGCCCCACAAACGGTTTCAATGTCTTGGAGGAAGTTGGTGATGTCTTGGATGATATTTGCCGCCCCACAACGCCAGTGTCAAAGGCACAGCCATAGGATGATGGCCGCCTGTGTCATCAACTCACCAGCTGAACGAGCGAGATGGGTAATTCCAGCATTACCAAGGCAGATGCTTGGTTGAATTGTCATGAAGTGACCGACGACAATCGTGCTCAACCAATACAACACGGCGCATCGTAGAGACACAAAGACACATGGCTATTCATGGCTCGTCAAATCGTAAAGTGAATCTAAATGCCTATCAAGATGGTGAGCTACCCCCAGCTGTTCTCAGCTCGAGTAGCTCGGGATGATGGAGGACATAACCCACGATTGGTCTTCACTCACTCTGATACTCATTTTCACAAAAGCCCAATCCAATGCCAATCGCGTTTTTCGCGAACTTGTTGTCTTCGTCTGGGTGGACGCGTCGTCGGTTCACATTCCAATTTTCGCCCCTGTCACTCGGATGCGAGTGATACTCGCCAGTCCTCAGCTTCGAAGCGTGAGGTATTGATCTTTCGATAGCAGTCTCAGCCGAACGGCCAAAGCGTCAATCCTGAGGCCCACGGATCCGACGAAACTGCGAATTCGCAAGGCCAGGCACCGAGTGAATGATCGTCGTTCCTAGAAGTGACCGTTGCAACAAAGTGCTTCGGGCTGTGCCTGCCCGTTTGGGACTGCAATGCCTGTCAGTCGGTGTGCGGGATCTTTCGTCCCAGCTTCGCGACTGACATATTACGCAGTAGAAATCCAGCTGAGTAAAATTGTCGGCCTGCCAGGCCTGGCCCTGGCTGACAGACAAGGGCGCAGCGCCATCAGTTTGTCCAGTAGATTCTGGGGAGATCTCTAACAGGGCTGGGTGTCAAGTCTGCCCTACTCAACCTTGCAGCTACCTGTATCCGTACAACATGTCCTTCCCTAGGTGACGACAGGCCCGTCTTCAGCCGCGCAGAGAGGCTGCGTAAGGCTGAAGCAAGTCTTTCGACTGGGTTGACAGGATGAAAGATGCCACTGCGGACGATGGATTAAATGAGAGAAACAGGGGGGCGAGTGAACTGCGATACCTACTTATACGGGTTGACCAGACTGCCAACACAAAATAGAAGATACAACGCGAACAAGTGCATTTTCCTAGTTTTAATGAGCATGAAGGGCGCTCGAGGGCTAGAGGTCGTATCCAAGCGGAATGTTCATGAA